CTTCGTGGTCTGTGTGCAGGAGGACTTATATAACACAACAATACATTTTCTTTCCAAAACGAAAAAGAAAGTAAAACTTAGTCCGCCGTATATGGCGGACTGCAAAACTATGCTGGCAACGTAAGCGGTTTTAATATGGCAGCCTCCGCTTTGCGCCGCGTTCCCTTTCCCTCCTTCCCCCCCCTGCTCACAGGCGTCCATTCTAGATGCCACTTGTCTCTATGCGACGCTCTAATTGGCCCACTGAGTCGTAGCTTCCACAGTTTGCTAAGTGTGCCCTTAGGCAACCAGCCCAACCAGCAATGTAGCTTGGAAGTTGGCACGACACGTTGCGCCATCTAGCGACTGAAAAATAAAACAAATTGGATAGTCCAGGACGGCCTGGGTCGCGAGGACTGTGGGCAGGCGCATTTAGAAACCACGTGTGAACGTGGCACTTTGGATCGGCGTGAGCCTTTTTAGAACTGTTTTTTCATAAAATTAAGTCTCAACTTCACGTCTCTATGACCTTTCCGGGTTCCTGTGACGTCTCTCCTAAGCCTTGAGTTTCCCCAAAAATAAACGCCGCTATTGCTGCGTGAAAGACTGCCACGGTCGTGCAGGTGACCCAAGCGTCAGACTTTACCGCTTCCCTTTAAGACCTTGGGAAGCGACACGGCGACAAAGTGGATTACTGGAGTGCGATGCATCAAGTAAGTGAATTTTACATTAATTGTTGAAGTGAACGAAAATAGATGTGCAGGCTTGAAAAGTGGTCTGAAAGACTCCTTTTGCAAAATAACGTATTTATACTAGTTTTTTTACGAGTCTCTGACACAAACCATTTAGAGAAATACAGTAGGAAAAATTGGGCCGATTGTTGCTTCGCTTTGACGTCGAGAATCAGGCGATCAGGTCTTCAAGCGAGATGTCCTTCGGCCTGTTCCGGCACTCGTAGTTGTCGCATGCATTTGGTTGCGACCGCGTAGTTGTAGGCATGCATTTGGTTGCGACCGCGCGCGCCGTTCGGCACGCGCGGTCGCAACCAAAATCTTTTAAGCATGCAAGTTTTTAAATAGTGGATTTTCGTAGAACAAATTTTTGTTTGTTTCGGCTACCAAATTTAATGCTGAGTCTGGTAAATAATGTGACGGCGTGCAGAGAACAGTATGCAATTTTTTTTTCTAGAAAAAGCTCATGCGAAGCGTAAATATCCTTCTCACACGCACACTTTTTTGCCTGTCGCCAGACTTGTGCACTGTTCTCTAGCACGGAGAGTTTGGTTCTAATTACCCACATTTTATTCTAGTGTCGTGGGGGCGCCGGGAGAAGAAGAAGACGGTCGAGCAAAGCGCGAGCGGGGGCCAGCCGGCGAGGAAAGAGGAAGAGCGTGCTGCACGAGGCTGGGGCCGGGCAGGAACGATAGAGCCGTTCTGGCTGGTCCGCCCATGTCGGTCCCCGGAGCGTTCCACCAGCGAGCTTCGGATCAAGACCGGCGGAAACGGCGAGCCTGGCCTTATCGGCCTAGTCCATTGCGATCCAGGAGTGGTTCTGCAGCGAAACTCTGGCTGTGATAGCCCGGAACAGCTATAGCGTACGCATGCGTGGGAAGGACGATCCGCAGGCGTGGACACGGACTCCGACTGCCAGCTATGAACGACGGGCGACAACTAGGGTCGGCGGGTCCGGACTGCCGGCTCTCGAAGACGGGCAACCGGGAAGTACAGTAAACCCATTCGCTGCCTTCTCGTTGCGTTGTGTCACTTACTGGGAGACGAGCGAAGCACAGACCGATCGGGCGGCGATTATTATAGAGCGACGCCGCAAGCGCACGAAGACAGTTTAAACAGGTGTCCAAATGACAGCTCCAGATTATGCTCTCAACACTTGGACCTATCAAGGCTCCCGATGGTCTTAAAAAACCGCATAAAATAAAAAGGGACATGGCGCGCACGTGCACACGGGGACTGCTGAAATCGGGTTCGTCGCCGCTCGCCACGGCCCGACGGGCAGACTAGCCACTGGCCGACCCATTAAGAGAGACCCCTCCGCTTGTGGCGCCGAATGCAGCACTCTCGTGGCGCCGCCTGGCCATTGCCGGCTGGCTGTCATGCACTTGCGCCATCTTGCCCCAAACAACACTTAAAAGCATGATATCGCACAATGTGAAAGACCTCACTCGAAGCTTCGATCGATCATGACACCGCCTTTGTCGCACTTCCTGAGTGATGACTCATTGCGAAAGGTACGTTGAGGTGCGCGGAGAAATAAAATTCCGGGTGCTGATGAGGATCATGCGAGTCATTTAATTTTATTGCAGCTGTGCGAACGTTATAGTTGACGCAATCATAAAATTCTGTGCCCACTGACACCAACTTGACAACAGGAACCGAAATACACACGAACCTTTCTATGCCACAGAGAGAGGAGCGCAAGCCGTTTGGAGCGCTTCCCCAACTCCGACGTTACCGCGCCGCCTCGAGGCGCCGTCAGTCCGTTGGCGTCTCGCAGTCTACCGTGAAGCGAAGAGCGAACGCCGAGGAGAAACGAAAGCGACCCCCCCCCCCCCCCCCCCCCCCCATTTCCTCTTACCCCCTTTGCCCTCTACAGCTGGTTGAGACATTGCGGAGGGCGCTGGCAAGGAGGAGCCTGCAAGAACAAGCACCCCCCCCCCCCCCCCCACCCTCCTCTGCCCTCCACAGGAACCGGCGCGTTCACATGGCGAAGGAGCAGGCGAGCGACACCCAAACCAACCCTGAAGGCCCGAACCCCACGCAGTAGTTGCGAAGCGAGAGTCTCCTCGCCCTCTAAGACGGCCCGGGAGCTCACGTGACCAACCCAGCTATGAATATACCAGCGCTCACCGCGACTCATCATGGCCATGGTCCTCAGGCTCACGCCATCACGCAGACTAATACGATCACCGGACTCATATCCACCCAAAGACTCTCGTCTTGATTCAGGCTCATGCTCATGAGCCTCGAAACTCACAATCACACTCATGAGTACTTCACTTAGCGCTCAAGCTCACACTCACACTCAAGAGTTTTAAGAACTAACAATCACACTCACGGTTAAACTCGCGTTCATGAGTTCGTAGGGCTCACACTCGCACTCACACTCAAAGAGTTTTAAGAACTCACAATCACACTCACGATCATGAGTTCGCAGGGCTCACACTCGCACTCACACTTATTAGTTCTCAGAACTCGCGATCACACTCGCGATCAGACTCACGCTCATCAGTTCTCAGGACTCACACTCACACTCACACTGATAAGTTCACGTAACTCACGATCACACTCACACTCACACTCACAATTTTTAGAGACTCGCGGCCTCACTCACGATCACCTCAAATCTGATGGTGAGCGTGAGTGATCGTGAGTGATCGCACTCATGAGTGAGAATGCCGAGGTATGTTCGTCGCTGTACTCTTCAGTGCCGTGTTTATTTGGCTGCTTGAACATCTTTGGCTACGGCAGTAAATGCTCGCACCACTGTAATTGTTTAATAGAAAGTCATTTAGGGCCCGAGCCGTTTTTGTTACGACCATGGCCCTCCTCTCGTGTCCTCGTCACATTGTTTTTCTTCTGCGCCACACAACCATGAAGCTTGTGACACACTAGTTTGCATTCACAAGCTTACGACTCGCACAACGTCTAAGCTTGGAAATATATAAGCAACCTGAGAAGGCTGTTTAGTGACTATGAAAATTTGCATAAACTAGAAAACCTGATGACTGAATTAAGGTGGTTAGTTGGGCGAGTTGGTAATGATAGAACATGGTTAAAATTGTGCACAAATAGAAAGGAACAGAGGAGAGAGAAGAGACAAGCACGAACTCACAATTCAATGTATTGAAGGAAGAAAAAAGAACAGCCTGTAGCAACAGCTCGAGCCGAGGCCACACCGGCCTCGGCTCGAGCTGTTGCTACAGGCTGTTCTTTTTTCTTCCTTCAATACATTGAATTGCGAGTTTGTGCTTGTCTCTTCTCTCTCCTCTGTTCCTTTCTATTTGTGCACAATTTTAAACTGATGACTGAAATGCACTCATTGTGGACCACCGGGAGATAAATTGTTCACCAGCACAGTTGTTTCCTAGATATAAGCACAAGCTTGCACTCCTTCTATTTTCCTCAACTGCCAAATGTATGTACAGCATTTGGTGTAGGCTATACGAGGTTGGTCAGAATGATTTTTTTTCTATAAATTAGCATCTCAGCTATCTGTAAACAAAACTTGGAGTCTTTCAGGGCCTCTAGATGTGCAGGGCCACCTCCAGAAAATTATTTTGTGCTTGCCCGTCAGAGCCGCATGTTGGGATATGTATCTAAATAAGCAGCTCTGGTCTGTATGTTTGTTTGTCAACAGCTTGAGCCATTCCCTTTTTGCAGGTTTTATGTCGGTAGTGTTTCATGATTACAAGACAAACAAGGAGGCTAATGCACAGGTTGCAGCCATTAAAATTCTTTTATTTCGGAAGTGGGACAGCAATATTGAGGCTCATACATTTCTAAGTGTGCAGCGAGCAATGAAACGTAAACAAAGGAAGCAATACGTTCCACCATATTTTTAGCACAGGGTTCACATTAGTTCTAAACACAATCAAGAAAAGAAAATGGGTATTTTCACTGGGGAAAGAAACATGCAAGACACAGCATTCACAAGGCATGCCACTTAGAAATGCAAGAATCAAAGAGAAAATAACTTGTAAAATAATGAAAAAAGCATGATCCCATAATAAATGAGAAGATCACAAAAATGCAAACAAGACAAGGATGGAGGGAGGTGCGCATATGAAATGGATGGTCGCTTTGCATACCTTCCTTCATCTTTATCTTATTTCGACTGTTCTAGGTTTAGGTCATTATGCCCAAGCAAAGCGTAAATCACATCATATTTGTGATAAACATCATATACATAAACATCAGTTAAACAAAGCATTTCAGTTAGGGATTATATGAATGATTGTGATTAATGAACTGTGGCTCACTATGTGCTCAAAAGTTTGAAAATGTGCACACTGTGCAACATACGTATTATCCCCATTTCATTGGTGCCACGAGGAAGGGGGGTCCTATACAGTACCACTCTGAATTTAGCCTGCTTGTTTTTCCACCCCTTTCAGGTGGCAGTTGCACTGATCTTCCCAACATTGCCCCCTGGCTGGCATGACTGGCAGAGCAGCAAGGATGGCTCATTCTCCCTAGGTTACGTGATGCTGTGCACGGAGTGACCATTTCAAGTACCCGACGAGTATGGTGCCTGGAGCGAGTCTTCGACTGGTGTGTTTAGCCTCCTTTACTGCCCATACATCAAAAGTGGTCACGAAGAGGCAACGAATGACGTCACAGAAGTCGAAGTGTCACGCTATTGCATGTTGCGATCCTGGCGGTTGGCCATTGAAAAGTTAAAGAGCAGCCGGGAGTACCACGAGGCGAACACGAGTGTCGCTGTTGTCACGGCGTCCCAACCACCGGCTGCTGGAGCTTCAGTGGACTGTCGAACTGGAGAGTGACCTGCAGCAGAACAGGCGTCTGCCACATCAACCACCGCCGCTGGGAGGATTGCAACCGGCGACAGTATGACACTTGTATGACGCACCGGGCAGAAATTGAGGGACCACTTCTTTGGACACTCTAGACACACCAGTTGGAGATGCGTTCCAGGCACCATACCTATACAGTACCACTCTGGCTTCAGACTGCTTGTTTTTCTACCCCTTTCAGCTGGCAGTCGCACTGATCTTCTCAACATTGTCCCCTGGCTGGTATGACTGGCAGAGCAGCAAGGATGGCTCGTTTTCCCTAGATTACGTGATGCTGCGCACATAGTGATGATTTCAACTACCCAACGAGGCATAGGGATTGTCTTTTTCTTTCAGCAGTGTTGCGAGTCTTTATTTGGGCGGTGTTGTACCTGAATGAGTTAATAAATGTTACGAGTCAGAGAGACATTATATGATGTTTTCAAGAATTTGACAAATTATCATCCCAACATCTTCATTATGGAGGTTGCATGCAGATAATATGTGCATGGGTGTGAAGTTTATTTAGTGCGAGTGAACAATCGTAAAAAAGGTCAACTCACTTTGTCTCGCCTTTATTGCAGTGGAAGAATTGTGATGTATTTTTTTCTTCACGAGGCAATAATATTTTGATTGTGGAGTGGGCACAAAAGTGTTGTGCCCGCGAATCGAGCTTGGTGCAAACCTGTGCATAGTAATAAATCTTTTAGAGCAAAAAAAAAATTAAACCGGTGGCTATTGTTTCATTAGATATTGTTTCGGGGAAAGTTGGTAAACACTCCTCAGCATAGTACTAAACAATGCTTTCGACACATCCACTTGTCAAATGCTGCAGAAATCTTAAGAAAAGAAGATATGCCTGCTTTCAGCAAAGCCTTTCGACTAACTTTAATCGAGATGAAATTCGAGAAGTATAATGTTTTGTGGTGAACAGCTACTGAACAAATACAGTAGTGAAACAACACATCAAAACTTGTTAAAAAAAATTTGTTGAAATGTTTCGCATCTGTAAATGGATTCGAGTGAGTTTTCAGCAGCTTTATGACCAATTTTGTTCTAAGCAGCCATTTGACCCTTCAGAGATCACTTGAGAAGTTGAAATGCATGGCAACACCAAACTAGAAAGCATTCCTGATTTTTCATATTTATTTTACTGACGCAGGGGGCAAGTACATACTACATGTCATTTTTTTTAAAACAAGTAATCCAGCACAAACAACAGAAGTGGGAATAACTGCTGCAATAAAGTGGATATTTGGGGCAGTTGGTTCATTGCAAACAAAAAGCGCCGAATAAATGCAGGGACACAGACGAAGGGAAACAGGACAAGGCGCCTTGTCCTGTTTCTCTTTTTCTGTGTCCTTGTATTTTTTCGGCGCTTTTTGTTTTTAACAACTGCTAGCATGCATACAGGGAACGTTACATATTAGGGGTCAAGAGCTTGCATCAGCAAACGTGCGTGCGCACCACACATGCTTGCTCAGGTCCTTCGCGCCAGAAGCTCTGGAAACTTGTTTATTTTCGGTAAGCGGGGGAACCCACCTGATAGTTTATGCAGGCAACTGCTTTGAAGTTCTCATAAATGTCCGCATAATCGCCACCGGGGCCCGGGCTGTTGATACACGCGTGCGTGAACCCGGTTACTCGAAGGAGGCGGATGATTTCGGGAGCGCCGGGGAAGTGGACGAGTCCGAGCAGTCCGAGCAACAGATGCCTTACGGTGAGACGCGTCACTCTCCCGATTGCGCCGCACGCCGTCTGTTGTGAAATGTTGACAGCTAGAAACATCTTGCCAGCAAAAGTCGCAGCGTGACGAGCAACTGTAGCTTGGGTATCAGCGGCAGCCGCCTGTCGTCGCCGTTCGGATCAGGCCGTCAAGTCGCGGCCGAGCAGCTCCCGCGCCGTTGCCGTTCGTCGTCGCATATCCCGGTGGGATGCATTCAATCACGGAGGAATGGCCGCTTCTCTCGGCGAAAAATACCCGTCAACGAGGGCAACACCGCAATTACAGGACACAAATATTGAACGCGGCGATCCCATATGCGACATCACATCAGCAAGCCGCCATGTTGAAATGACTACGAAGTCGCGTTCAAGATAGGTCCAACCCAGTCTTGAAATTTGGGCACTTCAAGTTCGCTTCAAGCTCCGTTCAAGATCGGTTCAAGTTAAGGTGCGTTTATGAAGCGCGCTTGCTCGTCGCAAGACGGACTTGAGCAAGTTGAAGCTCGACTTCAGAGCAAGTCACATCTATGAATTCGGGGGTTAGTGGCGCGCTGGGATGAGCGCTAGAAGTATTCGAGCTCGCAACGGCGCAGCTCCGTACACTTAACAGTTGTCGCAAGTCGCGGCTTTGACTGCATTCAAGTTGATCGAAAACGATTTCTGTTCCCGTGAAGCATCACTTCCAGCTGAGTGGATATCCGCTCTACAGAGATTAATTCAAGACGGCAATTGCAGCTTTGCGCGAACAGCACAAATAGAAAAACGAACACTACAATATAAATACTGGCTACGAAGGGCCATGCGGGAAAACAAACTCATGGCTTGGAACCACATTGGAGCGGCTCGATTTATTGGCTTTCAAATAATTATGGCATGATCGAGCGTGTTCTTTTTAATAGGAGATTCATCCCCTGAGCCATTAAAAATAGCCTCAGATGTATGACATTGCTGGAAAAAAATGAACATGTTCGGAATATTTTTTTTTGCTTAGGGAGTCGCCGAAAAATTCCGTACGTTCAAAATGACCACTATAAAAGACGGAAACGCAGGGCTCGGTAGTAGTGATCGGGGTAGTGTGCTGTTGTATTGATGTTTGTATGTGCGATGCCTGTGTATGCGTTCAATATATGTTGACCTGATGTTTGTAGTGTGCGCAACGTGTCTACATGTGTTAGAGATTCCGAAGAAAAGGAAACGCAATTGTGGCGTAAGGAAATAAAAATATTTTTTGTAAAACATGAATTGGGCGGTACCTAGCGCCACCCAGCCTAGCTACGTGCGATTACTCTGCTTGACCCTGCCATCTGGTGGCAAGCGATTTAACATCCTTTTACGCTACGCGGCTACGCCATAGGTTCGTGTTACCGTGCTGAGATAAGCGAAGAGGTTGCTTCGGATTTGCTTTTCTTTTTAGAGCGGCTTTTGGTTTTGCGGGCGAATGATTTTCACTCCTCCGTGATGTGCGGTTGACGCAACGGTTGACGAAGGAATTGTGGCTCGAGGAATAGCAAAGGTAGGACATAAAGTGCGCGAACTGAGTGCCGGTCGTCTCCGTTGAACATCGCAGTGCTGACGATGAGAAGACCGAGTGACTGCATGCTTTCGAAACGTAAGTTTCTTTACCTGCAGGGGTAAAGGAACTTCGGAAATAAATACAGTTCGCGGAAAGCTCGTGTTACGTTTTTATTTCCTGCTCCTCTCGCTTCGTGCAATAGACTTAGTGTTCTCGTTAAGCCTTACCAAGCTCGATTTGCTCGATTCGTGGCCGCCATAATGAGATGCAGTCGACGGAGGAACTTTTCCTCCCCTGCTTAAGGGACGAAAGTTTCTCCCTTTCTGAAGGAACATATGTGTCAAGAGCGTTCCTCCCTTTAGGGAGGACTATACTGACCCTTTTTTCTAAGAGTGTATCACCCTTAAGTATTTAAAAGTTTCGAATTGTTGTAGAGTGAGCTGTCGAAACAATTTCATAACGCTTGAAGCCACACAACTCCGAGACAATTCCGTCATATGGCTTGAGGCGGTCCTCTTCCGTCCGTGTGTTTAGCCGGGGGAAGCTTGCCTCCGCCAACGTCCGCTAAAATTGCAGGGTCTGGACATCCACTCACACCCTCTGTTCACTCTCAGCCAAAGACTCCTCTGCTGTTGAAGTCCACAAAACGGGACGGATACGAGGGCTTGGCAGAACAGATGGACAGGCATATCATTGACTGATCGTGTGTGACGTCAAGTGTGACAAGAACCGACGTGGAAAAAAAGCAGAGAAGGCAAGGAGGAAAGCCGTGACGTTTGCCTGGTGGATGTCGAAACAGAAGACGGTCTGCAGGACTTCAACTTTCACTTTATATGGCGGGAAAGTGTGTTTCACGCGCACTGAAGTATCGTGTTTGAACATCCATTTCAGTTGAAAACGAGCGTGTTGGTTAATAGATACAAAACTTGAAAGTATAAAACAGAGAGGACGAGGAGGGGAACAGGACATCTTTCAAAAAGATGTCCTGTTCCCGTCCTCACAGGACATCTTTCAAAAAGATGTGAAAGATGTCCTGTTCCCGTCCTCGTCCTCTCTGTTTTATACTTTCAAGTTTTGTAACATCCATTTACACACCGTTGAGGGAATAAGAGAAATCCAAGAGCCCTATTGGAAAACCCCAATATAAACAGCGTATTATGGATATTGGTAAACAATATCTTTTTATTGTATTGCAATACAATATAGATAGTGTATTGGAAAACATTACATTTATTGTATTGTATTACAATAAGGATTTGTTATGGGATTCCAATATCCATAATACGCTGAAAATATTGGAATCCAATACCGTATAAACCCTTATTGGATCCCCATGTGTCGTATGGGGATCCAATAAGGGTTTACGATTCCAATATACTCAGCGTATTATGGATATTGGAATCCAATATATTGTATCGGCTACCAATAAAATTATATGAGAGTTGGAATATCACGTTCAGCACGACATTTCTTTGCAACACAGTCTCTTCTTGTGTGTATTCTGAGTGATAAAATAAAAAGTGTTGTTGTCAAATTATGAATAAAGAAGCAAAACACTGGGCTTATCCATACCAAATATATTTAACATATTCCTGAACTGGAGGATCTGGCATTTACTGCAAAAGAAAGTTAATTGTTTAGGACCCCATTCAAAAACTTGTTGTTTGAAAACAGAATGTGAAATCCTCACCTTTTAATGAAAGCAGCACCTGCTAGCTGTAGCCATATAAAACTGCAAAATAAAAATTTGTGATTAGTTCGCAACAAGTAGCAATCCTTCACTAAGCCGGATAGATTCAAAATTATGTCTGCGTTTGATTGTGGAAAAATAAGCTTCCATTCCACTGCCACGGATCATTCTGAGCTCTGTCAATTAAATAAACCTATCGGCTCGTCTGGCTTTACAGTTCCTGCTTTGCACCTAACCACGGTGAAAGATACACTCTTTAGGTGAGGACACGCCGGGGCTGAACGCGCGGCGCGAGGAATCAAATAGTGTTCGTTCGACGGGCATCCGAAAGACTGCATCATTCGGCTGCCACCGTGCCCGCGACTGACAGTGTCACCGGCGGCCAAACGGCGGAACTGTGTGACAGCAAAAAAACATTATCTCGTCGTCATGACACCCCGGTACACCATGGTCTTTCTGCACGTGTGACAACCTCGCTGGAGCTCTGCGCGTGTGGTACAT